CATGTATGTGTATATATATATATATATATATATATATATATATGTGTGTATATATATTATGTATGTATGTATTACAGTTCAAAAGTTTGGGGTCAATAAGATTTAATTTTTAAAGAAATTAATACTTTTACTCAGCAAGGACACATTAAATTAATCAAAAGTGACAGTAAAGACATTTATAATGTCACAAAACATTTGTATTTAAAATACATGGTGTTCTTTTGAACTTTCTATTCATTAAAGAATCCTGAATCATCACGGTTTCAGCAAAAATATGATTTGAAATTATTCTTGAGTGGCAAATCAGCATCTTAGAATGATTTCTGAAGACAATGAAGACTGGAGTAATGATGCTGAAAATTCAGCTTTGATCACAGGAATAAATTACATTTAAAAATATATTCATTCAGTTATTTGAAATTGTAACAGTTTTTCACAAGATTACTGATTTTACTGTTTTTTTTTTTCTTCTACAAATAAATGCAGCCTTGGTTAGCAGAAGAGACTTCCTTTCAAAAAGAAAAAAATTTGATCAACTCCAAACTTTTATTAATGTATTTATGTTTGTATGTATTTAGTTAGTTAGATAGTAAGCAAGCAGTCTGTTAGTATTCAATTCTGAATGCAGCCAAAGCCTCTATCTGGTTTCATTTATTTCTTACCGTGTTGCAGGTAATCAAAGTGTACAGTGAAGACCACACCAGCCGTGCAGTGGAGGTGCCCAGTGACATCACTGCCCGGGACATATGCCAGCTGTTCATCCTGAAGAACCACTGCATTGATGACCACAGCTGGACCCTGTTTGAGCAGATGCCACATCTGAGTATCGGTAAGCAAGTAAAGAAATGCAGCTAAAAACCACAACAAATGGATGCACTGAATTTTTTGGTGCATTGTCACAGAATACAATGCAGTCAAACATCAAGAGCATATGAAAACATTTAATAATCAATTTAATCTGATTATTATTAGGAGGATGTACATTGTTATTCTAAAGAGACAGTATTAATAAAGTCCTTATGTGTGCTATATGTTTTTTGAAGTATGCTTTTGTTTGAAAATCTTGACATCCACCCGTGTTATTTTAGTATTATTTATATACTAAAAATAGTATTTAATTCAATTTTTCAATTCAATTCAAGTTTATTTGTATAACGCTTTTTTTTTACGATACAAATCATTGCAAAGCAACTTTACAGCATTTACAGTATTAATGTTTTGAATCAGCTTTTAATTTTCATTTGTTATTTGTAAAAATTTTGCTGTATGCTTTTGTCATTTTTATTAGTCGTTTATTCTTTTATTGTTATATATATATATATTAATTTCTATTTGAATTTATTTTTATTTCATTTTTAGTTTTATTGATTTTAGTACTTGAACTTTAAACTTATTTATTTCAGGTTCAGATAACCTTATTTATTTCAGACATTTCTAATTTTAATTGATTGAACCTAAGTTCTGTAAGTTTAAGTTTTATATATTTTATAAGTTTTTATTTTAGTTTCTAACAATAATAACTATTGCTACTTTGATCATATTTTTTTTATATTTCATTTTTATTTTAAAATTTCTAAAGAACTTTGACTCTTTCACAGTAAACAATGACATCATCAATAAGTCATGGCAGTATGGTTTTTTTCCATAAATATATCTTATGAAAATAATTTAAATTATTTCAACAGTCTTTTTGAAGTTATTCAAGATTCAGCTTGATTTTTAAAGTCAGTTTAATCTAATTAACTTGTACAGTCAGTTTGATTATACAAAAAAAAAATATCACGCAGCAACCTAAATTTTTAAGTTAGTAGAAGTAGGTGGACATTTTTACAGTGTGCGTTTTATTGCTTAAATTGTTGTTCGACTAAAATGACTGTTAATTAAATCAGATGTGAGATATTCCTACTTTTATATCTCTGACTTTGTAAGATTAAAACTAAAACCCATAAAAAACAAATTTTTGTTACTTGACAACATTTCTCGTTTTCATTTAGTTTAATTTAAAGTACTGAAATAACAAACTAAAAAAAAAAAAAAAATAGACATTTAAAAAAAATGCCAAAACATGCCACAAAATTATTAAACTTTAACAAAAATTAGCATGAAAGCAGCAAATATGAAAATAAAATGTAATTTAAAATATTAAGAAACACTGTTGTATCTCAGTGATATGAAAATAACACTGATACACAAACAGAGTTGCTACATTTTGCTGTCATTCTATTATCAACAAAGAATTACTAGCAGCAATATACGAAGAAAAAATTATATATAAAATTGCAACTTTGACTCTTTGATACTTTTTATGACTAAAATGATGTTTAACTTGAAATGATTGTCTTTTAAACCATTATATAAATATTTCAATATATTCTAAATATGATCAAATACATAAATACTGACATATATTGAATGTTATCAAAAGGCTGAAAATATTGAGATGCAAATGAAACCATGAATTGAAGAGAGATCATCAACAGCATGGAGATGACGTTTGGTCATAGCCAATGCAAACAGCATTATTGCAGTATTGCAGTAAAGATCTGTCCGTTCACTGCAGTAACGCTATGGGAATTAGTTAGTATGAGATAACAGTAGTCAGACTCTTCCAGGTTGCTGCTTCTAAACAGATGCTTTCCATTCAGTCATTAAACATGCATTTAGGGCTGCAGGAGCTGAGTAATATTTAATGATAAAGTGGAATAATGAGCTCCCCCACACATCACTCTCATTGCTATTGAAGGTTGCTCATTATCAAGGCATAATTTTTGAAAAGAGTGTTAATAATTAATCTGTCAAGCCCACGGTGCAATAGGATAGTAAAACTATAAGAGCTGGAAACCAACGAGGGCAGTAAAATCTCATACTATTAAACTCTAGATTCTGATTGGATAAGCTGTGTTTAATGCTATAAAATGCTGAAAAACAAACACCTGTAACGGCATGTGAGATAAAAGTTGCTACAGTACATTATTTGGAAAACATTAACACTATATAAGTCTCTTGCTCACCAAGGCTACATTTATTTGATCAAAAAAACATTTTTTTTTATCTGTTTTATTTATTGTTTTTGTCTGTTCAGAACAACACTGTAGCACTTTGCCCAAGACAAATTTCCTTTCGGGGACAAATAAAGTTTATCCTTATCCTTATCCTTAAAAATACAGGGGAAAAACATTTATATTGTGAAATGTTACGTTTTCGGTAATATATTTTAAAATGTAATTTATTCCTCTGATCAAAGCTGAATTTTCAGCATCATTACTCCAGTCTTCAGTGTCACATGATCCTTCAGAAATCATTCTAATATGCTGATTTGCTGCTCAAGAAGCATTTATTATTATTATTATCAATGTTGAAAACAGTTGTGCTGCTTTATATTTTTGTGGAAACTGTGATACTTTCTTTCAGGATTCTTTGATGAATAGAAAGTTCAAAAGAACAGCATTGATTTGAAATAGAAATTCAAACAAATAGACTTTTGTAAAATTATAAGTATCTTTACAGTTACTTTTGATCAGCTTAATGCATCCTGTCTTAACCTTCATAATCAAAATCTAATAATTCACTGTTCACGTTACAAAGTCCCAACCTACATTTTTTCTTGTTAAATATCCACTTTTAATCACCTTACGTTAGTCAAATAGGTTACATATTTCACTTTATGTTCTTTAATGCACATAATGTGCTTTAGTGCACATGTATGGTTCATAAATTCATAAGCAGGTACCAAACTAAGTCTTGTTTGTGATTTCCAGAGAGAACCATAGAAGACCATGAGTCAGTTATGGAGGTTCAGTCAGGCTGGGGAATGGACTCTCACTGCTGTCTGTACTTCAGGAAGAATTATGCCAAATACGAGTTCTTCAAGAAGCCTCTAGTAAGTGTGTGTGTTTGTGTGTGTGTGTGTGTGTGTATCATGACACATGCTTCCCTGCTAATGTATAATTGATTTGCTTAGGTTTAACCTAACATCCAAGGTTACCTATTCAAGGTCATTAAAGATTGAAACAGAGACACACAATAGGGCCCTTTAATTGTACTGGTTAAGAATTCAAGGTAATGCCTAAATAATAAAGTACAGATGACTAACTCCTGTAATTTTCAAGGTCACGGAACCTAATATCAGATTTAACAAAGGGCCTTTAAGTGGTTTCTTTTATAGTAAACATAAAATGCTCCTAATACTTGACAGATTTAATTGGAATAGGTGTCAAATAGATGAAATTTCATGTCTAAATTCTCCACAAATGTGGCTTGTATGGGAGGGTTGCAATAAAAAAGCCACTCCTCAAGAAAGGCCACATGCAGTCAGACCGAGCTTTGCCAAAACACACCTTGAAGATTCTGTGGCAGATGAGACTAAAATTGAATTATTTGGCCTCAACTCCAAACGATACATCTGGCAGAAATCCAATCCAGCTCAGCATCCAAATAACAGATTCCTCCAGTAAAGCATGGAGGAGGTCATATCCTGTTCTGGGTGTTTCTCTGCAGCAGGGACTGGAGCTCTCTCTCTCTCTCTCTCTCTCTCTCTCTATATATATATATATATATATATATATATATATCTCTCCAAAAGATGGACACAGTTTTTGTTTTTTTCATCTGTACTTACTCAGTGCAACTTATAATTAAAAAGGATCACCCCCCTCCTAAAAATGACTTGTAAACTCAATCAGGTGTAACTAATC